AGCTCAAGGCTAGTGCTCTACCACTTGAGCCACAGCGCCACTTCCGGCTTTTTTCTTTTTGCTTATGTGGTGCTGAGGAATTGAACCCAGGGCCTCAGGCGTGCAAGGCAAGCGCTCTACCACTGAGCCACCTTCTCAGCCCCTGAATATACAATTCTATGCCCTGTGTCTTCACAAAACTTTATGAACATTTTTCTAAGCCTAGACATCAATTATAAACAGTTAAGTACCATAATATTTCATTGAGTTGTTTAAGCCATTTCTGATGATTTTTTCCTATCAGAAATATCATGGCAACCAAACAATATTTTCATAAAAGGAAGCAAAGCACAGCTATTTTAGAGGAGTTCAAGGACAATGAAGTTATAACTCAGGGTGCTCAGGCTTCAAGCAAGCCTGAAGCAACCTCTAGGATCTTCTTCCCTATGGTACTGATGAAGCCTGTTTCCTATTCTCCTCCTGCCTAGCCAATGGTTCTCACAATCAATAAGGGCAAATAAGATCCGATAAGGCAGAGAGGAGGGAAAAAAAAAAAAAACAAGACATGTAAATTTACAAATATTAGAGCATAAATATTCTTACCTTTGGAGAAGGATCTTTTAATATAAGCGTCATTAAGGACACAGACTGTGGGCTTCCAAGCTCAGGTGTATCAGGGACAAAGGCTGACCAGTAGCCATAAAGAACTTTTTTTTCTATTGATTTTATAGTAGAAAGAAAACAGGCTAGTGCTCCTTGGCGAACTTTGGCTTGATAGGACCTTTCACAACCAAAATAAGAGAGAAAAAAGTTTTTAAGCGTTTTCTTTTTTAAATACAAACATGACATTTATTTATTTCCAGTTATACCCTGAAAAATTAAACATCAATAATCCCTAAAGATATTACCATGATCTTTAAAAAATAATTTTTCAAAATATCATCAGAACATATTTAGGCAATCTGCTTATGAAATAAGTTTTGGTTTAGGGGGTTACTAGGGATTGAACTCAGGGCTGTGTGTTTACTAGGTAAATAAATGTTCTAACACTTGAGTTATGCTATAGCCCTATAACATGGTATAGGCAGACAAAAACCATAAGCTAGCTAATAAGGAGGCCACATTTTGATGATAGGGAACTAGTACTAGATATGAAATACGGAAGAGTATCCATCCATCTACTCAACAACATATCCGCTAAATGCCTTTAGGTGAGTGCCACACAGGCATTATATTGAGGAGGACAGACATAAACAAAGCCCCTGCCCTGGACAAGCTTTGGAATGGCAGTGAATAGTGTTATGGCAGAGGTAAGTCAAAGGATCACGGGGGGAAGAAGGGCTGGGGGGGAGCCTGCAGGGGGTGGGGATGTCCTTAAACCAAAACGAGAATGGGAGTTGAAAAAGTTTCCCAGAAAATATAATTTCTGAGCTTACTTCAAAGACAGGTAGTGTTTAACAAGACCAAAAAAGTGAAGGAAAGACTTAGAGAAACATTCTCTCTCTCTCTTTCTCTCTCTCAAATGCATAGATCAAGACCAAGTAATGCAAAGTTCCACATAACTGAAAATCTGCAAGTCCAATCATCCTTGGCAGTCAGTTTTTAAGCAATTATAAAACACATGCAACTTAGAATATCAGGTGTAAAAATATAAAACATTACTACCTCATTTTACATTGGATGCCTCCTTCAGTGTCAGAATAGTCAGACTCACTACTACTGATTCTTTTCCAAGTGGAAGAAGCGAAGGGTGAGGAGACTTGCTCTCTCCTTCCAGCTCCACTTCCATTTGCAGGCAAACTCTGGATGCCCTGGGAGGAGGGACACACCGCATCCCTACCACCTGTGCTCACTCTGCTGGAGCTGGTGCCTGAGGCTGCCTCCATTTCTCCATTGGATTCTTCTTCTTCCTCTTCTTCATCTCCTTGCTGGGCTTTCTTTGCTTTTGCCTTATGTTTTTTCTTTTTATTCTGATTTTAGGAGCAAAAGAAGACATATATGATAGCTATTTCAAAATAACTTTTAACTGAATTCTAGCACTTCCTCATTTGCAAGTGATTTAACTATGTTCCCAACAGAGAAACTGAAGAAGCAAAAGAGGAGACAAGAAAAAAGTGCTATTTGATATCTTTTGTCTCAGGCACAATGCTAAGTACTTACATGACTTCTACTGGACTGTAAGAAAAAAAGAAATAAAGGCCCTGGGATAGATAAAAACTTGTGACTTAAATTTAAACTTGTGTTTAAATTCTACCTTAGTGACTCTAGGCAAATACTTCTTTGACTTTGACCTTTCTCATCTATGAGTATAAGGTTAATACAAGGGAATTTGTCGGATTGTAGTGAAAACAAGTCAGCCTTCACAAGAAAATTAAGGCCTAGGGAAAAGAACTCAAGTATCTATTTTCTCAGTTCTTACAAATAAGATAACTAGGATCCCTCTAGAGGCATGCACTGGAGCCAGTAACCACTATGCATAATGCATGGCTTTAGGGCTGTGGGACTATGTAGTAGCAATATGAAGTAAAAATCAGTTTCATTTCTCCTACTTCTTTCTGACATCCAAATGCCTTTGGAATTTGAGCCTTTCTCCACACCCTCAAAGTCTCTAGCTAGTCTAAAGAAAGGCTCACGTCTCTTCTATCCTGGAGCAATTAGGTTAGCTCAGACCCAGACCCTCAGACTTGCTACTCAGTTAGCTTATCTAAGATGCAAATCTGATCACAACATTTTGATAGATGACATTCTTCAGTGGCCAACAAGATAAACAGCCACAGCATACAGCAGGAGATCCCAGAAACTCTACCTGAAACTCAAGTTGTACTAGATGACATACAAGCTTACACACACATTCCTTTTATTTTGTAAATAGATTATATCTTTATTCCTCATCCTTTTACATACTCAACATTACATAACAAGTGTTCTGAGAATAAAAGCATACTAAATTTTTACCCAAGGATGTAAAATGTGGTCAAATCAATTATCCATATTGACCTGTGATGTTTTTCATTTTGTTTTGTTTTCTGAGACTGGTAGAACTAGGCTTGTATTGAACTCAGTATTTTTCTACCTCAACCTCTAAGGATGGAGATTATAGGCATCAGATGCCCTTTCAGGTTTTAAAAATAAGTTACATCGTAGCTAGGAAATGCAGCTCAATAGTAGCATAGCTACCCATGTGCAAAGCCCTGTGGCCCATTTCCAGAAACAAAACCAACAACCCAAAATGGGAGGAAACATTACACACATTCTTATTCTGTGTTTATGCACCTTTGGCCCCTCAGGAAGAAACTTGCCACTTCTGTACTATTATTCATTCTTGAGTCTCAGTGTAGCTAGGACATCTTGTAAAAAGCTTTCTCCTTTTCATCCCTTTGGACCAAGTGCTCTGAATGTGTTCTCTGAAGACTCTGTGAATGTTCTGATGAATGAAATGATATTGCATTGTAATTATTTCTTTTGTTTGTTTGTGTTTTTTGTTTTTGTAATTATTTCTTTATCCATCTTTGCCTCTCTCTACACTCTGAAGAATTGTCCATCCCAGTATCCTTAATGCTTATTAGCACAATGTCTGTGATACAGCAGATATTTGATAAGAACCGAATAAATTAAGAGAATTCCTATTTTAAGCATTTTTGGTGAGGTATTACATTTTTGGGGATGTAAAACCTTGGCTACACATTTGTAACTCTCCAGATTCATTCTCGGAAACCTGAGGGAGATGGCAGCTGGCTGAAAAGACTGAGAAGTATGATTAATGTGTCTGGAGCTGATGAGTTCGTTAATAGGAAAAATGTCTCCTGGTTTACAGAAGAGTGGCTAAAATACAGACTAGAGGCCAAATGTAGCTTGGCCAACGACCTGTTTCTATAAATGAAGCTTTACTAGAAAACAGCCGGGCCCATTACATTCCAGTGTCTCTCTGGATGCTTCTGCACTATGATGACAGGGTTGGTAGTGTGTCAGAGACTTAAAATATTTATTGGCCAATCCTTTTTAGAAGTTTGTTGATCCTTCTTGGTCTTCAGAAGTCTAGGGATAAGGATGCTCGGCCTTGGATGTAAAGTTAATGCTCATTTTTGTAGATGTTACTTGCTTAGATCTCAACTGAGAGGCATAGTGTTTTAACTGGTATTTTAGCAGTCTCATAAATTTACTCCTGCATTAAGTATACTGAATTGAAATCAAATTTGAAGTGGGAGTAGTAGTAGTAGTAGTAATACAAATTATGGAAAATACATACACAGAGCTATTCAAAACACTCCGCAACTTAAATCTCTATAGAGTAAATGTACCATAGTTGGCCGAGCAGGACTAGATTCTGATTGCTGAGGCGGTCGTCCATCATACTGAGGAAGTGGAGTTGGGTATAACACTGTGGGCATCTCTATGTTTAGTCCAGGGAGTCCATGAAACATGGCTTTCTAAGAGTGACACAGACACATACACACACATACATAAAACATAAATCACAAAATGTAATTATTTAGCATGGTCCATGTTCTCAATCAGAACACAAGACAGGTTAATGTTTAAAAAGGGCTTGGCTCAAATGATAGAACACTTGCCTAGCAAATGCAAGACCCTAAATTCAAATGGCAGTACTGCCAAAAAAAAAAAAAAAAGAATAAAGGCCAGGTCTGATAAAGCACACCTATAATCAGCACTGTGGCTTGGAGGCAGGATGATAGTGAGTCAGAGGTTCAGGGTGGGCTACATAGCAAGTTCAAGACCAACCTGAACTCTAGTGAGACCGACTCAAAGCACAGCCCACAAAAATCAAACCTAGTAAGGAAAAATAGATCTCTTGAATGAACTTTCAAGGGCTTAAAAAAGAGCTTAATTTCATCTAGCCACCAGCTAGATCTGGTTGGCCACATTAGATTGGATATGGTTTTAAGTATATTTATATCTATTGTATCCACTCCCTTTTATCCTGTTATTTTATCTATCTGTGATCTTATAAACCATGTTACGTTTTTATTTTGTTACCTATCTTCAGATATAGGTATCTGTCTCTGTTTGAGGATTAGGAGAAATGACAAAAGGAAAGAGTTAAACTTTTAATCATGATTGTCAGCCATGGCATTGACTTGAGGTGAACACAAAGCCTCTTACTCTTACCTGGCTGAATTGGAGACCCCACAGAGGAGATTTAAATTCCCTGCTGCCTAGCAGCTCAGAAGCTAACAAGGGCAGCCTGCTCACATGAGCCTTGATCAGCTGACCTACTGTATGAAGGAAATGCCAAGGAGAAACCCTGGCTTTTCTTCTCAGTAGAAACAAGTAAAAGTAGGGTCAATATAATCTACGTTAAACAACTCACAGATTATATCCTACAAGCTATTCCCTCCTAAGGTTCAAATGCAATTTAAAATTACTGATAGATTTTTTTTTTGGGGGGGGGGTCCGGTCGTGGGGCCTGGGTGCTGTCCCTCAGCTCTTCAGCTCAATGCTAGCGCTCTACCACTTGAGCCACAGCGCCACTTCCAGCTTTTTTCTTTTTGCTTATGTGGTGCTGAGGAATAGAACCCAGGGCCTCATGCATACAAGGCAAGTGCTCTACCACTGAGCCACCTTCCCAGCTCACTGATACATTTATTTATTCATTCAATCAATCAATTATTTTTGGCAGTATTGCTGTTTGAACTCAGGGCTTCATACTTACTAAAGTATGAAGTATATTTCATACTTTATATAAAGTATATATACTTTATACTTCTCTATTATTATTATTCTGTGTTTATGCACCTTTGGCCCCTCAGGAAGAAACTTCCCACTTCTGTACTATTATTCATTCTTGACTATCAGTATAGTTACCATATCTGGTAAAAAGCTTTCTCCTTTTCCTCCCTTTGGACCAAGTGCTCTGAATGTGTTCTCTGAAGTATATAAAGTATAAACACAGAAGCCAATACTTGCTAAAGCAGGCACCTTTACTGCTGAGCCACCCATACTTCCAGCTATGATTTTTGCTCATTAATTTTGAGATAGATTCTTGCTTTCTACTCAGGCACACACTGGGTGTGATCCACCTATGTTAGGCCTCCCAGTAGCTAGGAGAATAGGCATCACCACCTCATCCAGCTCTTCACTGAGAAGGGGAATCTTGTACTTTCGGACTGGGCTGGCATGCAGTTATGAGCTCAACAACCTCAGTCTCACAAGCAGCTAGGATTATAGGCATGAGCCACTGGTGCACAGCTTGATATGTTTACTGCTTACTTATTTTCTGCTATTAATTCTAAGTATTCTTGACTATGAGCATCTTATTTGATATGCTCTCTTAAATATATATAAGTATATACATATATATATATATATGAACTCAGATATATATATGTATATATATGAATTTTCAATACCTTAAGTCTAGCCTTAGAACAATGATATAAAGTGGTCCTCATGTCTGGGAAAGAAGTAGGAAAACCACTGATTGTAATGGAAACTCTACTTACCTTTAGCACAGCTAAAAGAGCTCCAAGTTCATCAGTTTGTGTCAGTTTCATCTTCCCACCATTGAGGAGTGACTGTATGCCCTTCAATGCACTTTGTAACAACTGGAAGAGGAAAAAGAGCAAGTTAAAAGGCAGAACATGTCAGGTGATGTGTGCTGACTCCTGTAATCCTAGTTAGTCCTAGTTCAAAAGTCTATTGCTTGAGATCTGAGGATCAAAATTCAAAACTAGCTCAGGCAGGAAAGTCCATAAAACTCTTATCTCCAACTAAGCTCTCCAAAAGGGGAAGTAGAGCTGTAACTCAAGTGGTAGAGTGCTACTCTTGAATACAAAAGTTCAAAGATAGTGCTCAGGCTCTGAGTTCAAACCCCAGGATCGTCACCAAAAAAAAAAAAAAAAGGCAGATAAAATTTGGTTGTCTAAGGATCAACCTTTTGTCACTACAAAGAAGAAAGCCTCTTGCTAGATTATGAAAAACCCTTCTCAACCACACAAAGCAGAGGACGACTACAGAACTGATGAACCACAGTGAGTTATTTTCTAGAGAAGAGTAGTTTTAATGATCTTACTAGATTAACAGACTTATAAACCAGTATGTACACATGGTGAACAAAAACAAAAAACAAAGGAGAAGACAGTGAGATAGTGAGTAGAATAGAATGGGATAGTGGACTGGAAGAATGGAATGGCAAAAGTGGCAGCAGAGAACAGAAGTGGACAGCTCTATAATAAGTGATTGGAGGCTCTTATACACAGAGGCATAGATGCCAGAGGAAGCTAAATGATAAAAATGTGCTTCTGGCAGGAAATTCTGTCAACATTGCTACTGTAACTCAGTAATCTCATGTCTAGAACTCTGTCCTTCAGTGTTCCCCACAGGGCAGAATGTGAACTATTGTCCTATTTGAAATAGTGGAAACAGTGAAGAGAAGATTACTTTTCATCTATTATTAGGATTATGACAATGATTATATAGGAAGCTAACTCTCTACTAAATGTGAAATTAATACTAATAATAGTAGGTATTCTGTCAAGCACTTTTTTTGGTGATGGTACTGGGATTTTTAACTCAAGGTCTCATGCTTGCTAGGCAGGTACTCTCCCACTTAAGCTATACTTCCCAGCCCTTGTCAAACACTTTAAAGCCTTACTTCATATTCTCCTCATAAGAATCCTATGATGTCATGACCTTATTTATGTAAGTGTAACCCCTCTGTACATCACCTTTACAATTAAAAAAAAGGAAGGAATCCTATGATGAAGTGGAAGTACTTCATGGAGGTACCAAGACATTAGATAACTTGTCTAAGTTATAGCAGTTAGAAAGCATGAGATATATTAATAGAAAAGATACCTTAAAGACACTGCAATTTAAAACCTCCAAAAGCTGCAAAACTGTATTAAATATGATTCCATATGAAAACAATAAATGTGTTCATTCATATATAGAAAAATAATCTGAAGGACTGAGAATGAATTGTCCTCTATGGTTAGAGCTGAGCAGGGAACTAAAAAGAGCTTTATTTAAACCTTTAAATGTTAAGAAATGGTCATTTGTATGAAATTTTATTAAAGAAATAAAATAGTGCAGATATTGTTGAAATACAGTTTCTTTCCTTTTATGTTTAAAATTAGTTACTAGCCTAAAACTCTATTGTTTTTATAGTTAGGAGGGAAAAAAAATTAAGGTGGACTTTTTCTCCCTCCTTTTTTTTTCTTGTGTACTAGTCCTGGGGCCTGAAATCAGGGGCTGGTGCTGCTCAAGGCTAGCACTTTCCCACTTGAGCCACAGTTCCATTTCTGTGTGTGTGTGTGTGTGTGTGTGTGTGTGTGTGTGTGT